GTGTCTCGTTCCCTTCGGGGAACCATGGTTACATACGTAACCTGGAGACGTTTTCTCTTCCTCTTCTCTAAAGCAGTGCAGCATGGCCTCGCCCCCTTTGCTGCCTTTTCCCGAGGGCGGGGTTTATCTGGGTTTGTGATGTCACGAACCCGGGAAGTAGCTCATTGTAGTCCCTGCCAGCTGTTTTTGTAGGCATTAAACTGCCAGAATTTTAAAAGACGATATCTCCGTTTGCATTGAACTTTCAGCTTCGTAACTTTGCAGATATTGTTTATGCCCAAACAGCAACATTACACACTAACTAACGTTAAAAAAGTGAAATCGCAATCAACCACCCCTTTAAAGTCACTTGAATGTTTAAATTGGTAAGACTTAATAGCACATGCAAATTATACTTTCCCATCATCTGTCCCGAGTGTCTTTCACGCTGAAATATTTATGGCAGTTTTCCCAAACCTGCGGGAATGAGTAGAATTATGCGCAATACCCGCAATCCTGTGCCAAAATTCAAGCCCGAAATTCAAGAACTTTTACTTCTGAGTGAACTATTCCTTTAAATACAGTCAAATATGAAACATGTTTTATTAGTTTTTGTTTATATGTTTTTGGCTTTGTAGTTGATTAAAATTATGACAGTTCCCATCCTTTAAATCAAGTATAATTTTTCAGTACTTGTAGCTTTGTTCAAAACCACCATGCAACTGCCCCGTAGTGCATACGCCATCAAGCCAAGTGTTTTTATATAGTACCACACAATGCAAAGCAGTGTCAGGGAAGGATTGAGAAGCGACGATTTAAGGACACAAGACAAGTACTCGGCAGTCTCTGACCTGTCAATCAGACTATAGAGCAGCTCTTTCCCTGAGCAGCACTCAGAGATGAGCACTAGGTAGCGTGGGGTGACGTAGGCCTCATGCAGAGCCATGACCTTCTCATGATGGAGGGACTTCAGTATGTCATACTCCTGTAACACGGCCTGCTTGCTCTCAGGTTCATACGGCACAATCTTGGCCATGTACAGGTTACCGGTGGCATTTTCCCGACACTCTCTGATCACACCAAAACGACCTCTGTGGTGAAGAAAATACAAGGGGATCAATGGATGTCAAGTTCAGTTTTACTTAATTATTTGTTTTATAAAAAGAAAAAAACTATTTTGTGATTTTATTTGCTTTAAAAGTATTTATATTTCCTTATATATGGTTTATATGCGAATATATGATATTCTGTAATATTGTTAAAAAAACATTCAAAAATTGTAAAATGCAGCTTAAGTGTCACTGTATAAAAGAAGTAGTTCTAAGTTTATAAGTACTAAGTGTTTTTCCCCCCTTCAGTCATGTGTTATCTTGCTTAAGCTTCCCAGAACTACTACTTGTGGACCCCCATAAAAAATAAAATTAAATTAAATTAAAAAATAAAAAAACTAATAAAAATCAATCAATCAATAAATGTAAAAAATAAAAAGGAAAATACGCATGTCTGAAAATAAAGTAAAAAATAAATCATAAAAATTAAAATAAATCAAATAAATAAGCACACAAATAAATAAAAATATAAAAATAATAAAATATCCATGTCTGTAAATAAAGTATAACTAAATAAAAGTAACAAAAATAATAAATAAACCAAACAAACAAAATAAATAAAAATAAATACAACTATAAGAATAATAAATAACATTTAAAATATGAATGTCTGAAAATAAAACACAATATAAATAAAAAGTAAAAATAATAAAAACAAACAAATAAAATAAATAAATATGCATGTATGAAAACAATGAACAAAATAAAACTCAACAACTTTGAACAGTAATTACATCAAAAGCTGATTTACATGACTAACCAATTATTTAAAATGATATTATTCTAGTTAAGCGTTTATCATGACATGATATATGGATTACAGCTACTTTTGTATTTGATGTTGTTTTGATTTTATTATTTGATGTTGATATGATAAACAGCCATAAAAATGTTCTTTTGTTACACTGGTACAAGGTAATATAAATGTGATCAGTCACAGCACTTAACCTTGCTTTCTCATCCATGAATGTGTACGGTTTCTGTGGGACTCCCTGCCTTAGGGTCGAGTCTCCAGGTTTTCCTATAGGGGTCCTGCACCCTGTAGGAGTGATGCGTCCAGAAGGAGTGGCTCTTCCACTTGGAGTCATACGATTGGGTGTGCCAGTACCCTCCCCTATGGGACTCAGACTTGTAACTAACACCACCGGTGGTGACAGGGCAGGAGAAGGCGTGTTTGGGGTGACTGGAGTCACATGTGCTGTGGTGGTGGCCGGGACATACATAGGCACTGAGGAGATAGGCTTGCCGATAGCAGGCGGAGGGGAGACCAGAGGGGGCGGGGACACCGGAGGGGTTTGAGGAGGGGGGGAGACCGCATTGACTGGGGTCTGAGGTTTGGGCAGAACGACAGGTGGTGAGGGTTTGGCAGGAGGAGGTTGAGCTGCAGGGGATGCTGGGGAGGGTTTGGCCATAGTGATGTTGAGAGTAGTCTTAGCTTTCGCTGAGGTAGGAGCACTAGGGGATGGAGTTCGGATATCAGGCACAGTACGATGACTCGGGGGAAGGGTGGCAGGGGAAGGTGTCGTAGCTGATGCAGGTGCAGCAAGTGGAGACACAGGCTTTACCGGCTGGATTGTAGAGGGCGCTGAAGTCACCGGTGGTGCTGCAGCCTGTTTAATGGCAGCAGGCTTCATTGCAGGTAAAGTCATGGTGGATGTTACCACTGTAGGCGCAGCAGCCGGAGCTGATGAAAGTGTCTTGACAACAACTGTTCCACTGGACTTTTGGGGTGCTGTAGAAATAACTTTGAATTTGAAAAATGAAGATGCATAGATGCATAAGTTCTATTCAAATTTATATTACGCTACTGTTAAAAAGTTTGAAGTTGCTACAAACTATTTTTAATGTAGTCTTTTATGCTTGTCAAGGCAGCATTTATTTGATCAAAAAAACAGAAAAACAAAAAACAGTAATATTGTGAAATATTACTACAATTTAAAACAACTGTTTTCTATTTTAATATATATTAAAATGTAATTTATTCCTGTAATGGCAAAGCTCACTGTTAAGCAGCCATTACTCCAATCTTCAGTGTCACATGATCCTTCAGACAGCAATCCAATATACTGATTTGGTGATTAAATAACATTTATATCATTTATTTGAAATATAAGGTTTTTGTAACATTGTAAAAGTCTTTACTGTCACTTTTGAACAATTTAATGTGCTTTAAATTTAATGTTTGATCAATTTGATCAGTTTAATCTTATTGACCTCAAATTTTTGAACAGTAGTCATATTATATTATATTACATTATATATCAAAGCCATGCATCCAATTATGTCTGTCATTTTGTAGAAGCTAGGCAGTTTTTGTGACATGCCATTTGTTTTCAAAGAACATAAAAAATATATATATAACCCAAAATGCATTAAATATTGTCACATCTGCAGCAAAAATAAACATGGTTTTGTTTAGTAAAGTATTGGCTGCTGACAGCATGAAATAGATAAGAACCACAAAGCTTTTGTGCACCTGTTGAGTCCAGGACAACTTTTTCAGACAGATTGCTGTAAGGTCCCTGGCCAGCCTTGTTCACACAGGCCACTCTGAACCTGTATGCTGCACAAGTTGGAAGGTCCGTGACATTGTAGTAACAGTCAGCCACACCTGTGGCTACTATCAGCCAGTTAGTCTCACCTACAAAAATAAATATTATATTGTTACTTGTAATGAGTAAGAATTGTTTGCAACACCTATGCTTTCCAAAAGAGGGCAGTAAAACAGAAGGAAATGTGACTGTTTTTCCTCTACATTCCCCTACCCAGTTTTTATTTATTTATTTTTTTTACATTGGACAAAACTAATAGCAAGAAAATCTAGGCAATTTAGGAAAATCAACATATTACAGTATTACCATTGTTTAAAAAATTACAATTTTTGCATTTAAAATTAATACTGAGAACACAGCTGACAATATTTTCAACAATATACTTCAGGAATCCCACTCTAATCATCAAAGATAAACAATGAATGCTATTAACTAACCCTCTGTCTTCCTCTCCAGAGAGTAGGTGCACGGTGCCATGGTGTCTGAGGGTCTCCATACCACCAGAGCAGTGTTTTTATACTTCTGAGGAACCTCAGGAGTCCCAGGGCTATTAGGCAGACCTGCAAAATAATATTTAGTGTTCACTACTAGAAATGATCTTAGTTGATCTGTCTTTTGAAGAACTGTTCAAAAGTTTGGGGTAAGTAAACATTTTTTTAATGAATACTTTTATTCAGCAATCACATATTAAACTAGTCAAAAACGACAGTAAAACAATTTTGAATGTTGCAAAAAATTCCATTTTAAATATATTGTTTTGAACTTTCTATCCATCAAAGTAACCTGAAATATATTAAGCAGCTTAAGTGATTTCAACATTGAAAATAATATTTCGTAATTGTCAAAACAGTATATAAGAATGATTTTTGAAGGATCATGTGACACTGAAACCTGGAGTTATGGCTGCAGAAAATTCAGTTTTGCCATCACAAGAATAAATTACACTTTAAAACATATTCAAATACAAAATTATTTAAAAAAAAAAATTTATTTAAAAAAAAAAGTTATTTTAAATTGAAATAATATTCCACAATTTCACTGAGAGACACTTTTGAAAGGTAAGTGTATGTTACTGACTTTAGTGCAAATTTCATAGAAACTGGATTGACAAACAGGTTTTTTAGCTGATTAAACATTTTAGAGCTGAACATAACTAGAAAAATTATATTTGCTAGTCACATGGTTTTCCACATTTTTACAATTTCCACATTTTTCCTTGACCGTGGGAAACCTGCAGGTAAACGGATATTATAATAGCCACATTCCAGACACTAATGTAAAAATAAATAAATAATTAAAATAGACAAAAACTGTCTCGGGTAAGGCAGCTACATGATATTTACACCTCTGCTAACAAGTCACCTTTCCATATTAATCAGCTTTGTGAAGCACAAAAAGGAGTGAATAATTTATGGCCTGCTGTTCTGGGAGAAAACAGCTTTGCACAATGATAAGCAGTGCATTAGCCTGCTCACGATGTTAGAAAGCCAATGGCATTTCTGTTCTCAAGGCTAATAGAGCTCCTTCCTGAGTCTAGCTGTGAGCTATGCACTAACTCTTAAAAAATAAATTTAACTGTTCACTGTGTCCTTCTTTCATCTCTGTTCTAGCCTTTACTTTTCTGAGAAATTCAGGAACGCTGCATTGTAGCCCTTATTTTCTTCTTAAGGGGTTTCCACACTGACAGTGATTTTCTGCAACAAAATGACCATATCTCATTCATTTTCAATGAGAGCTTGGCAATGCAATATGGGCATACCCAGTGACTAATCAAGTTTGAGAAAAGTGATGCATAAAATCGGATGCATAACCATGTCAGAAATTGTCAGTATTCGAAGTTTGAGTTTGACTAATGTATTGATAATCATTCTTGTTCATGATATGATCTATTTTGCATTGCTGCATTTTATACACAAATACTGTCCCTAGCAGAATATTAAGTTGCTTTGGATAAATGAATACAATTTTAATATTTTAAAAAGTATCAATGTGTCCCTAACTTTGCACATTTCCTTCTCTGCTTTGTTTTCTTAATCTATTTCTCATTTACCAAACTATTCTCCTTCCTTTATCAGACTTTCAGTTCCTCATTTGCTTCTTGTCTTAAACTTACGCGCAAGGGACACGACGCATGAGCTGGTGACAGAGGCCAGTGCATTTGAAGCCACACATTCATAAAGGCCTGCATCCTTCTTGGTGGTCTTCATAATCATCAGCAGCTGTCTCCCGTCAGGACAGGATATCATGTTCATCCTTGGGTCGATTTCAAGTGGCTTCTTATCTGAGATTACACAAAGTTGAAAAGCAAAATTGTTAGTTGGGAACTTTTTCCAAAATCATAATCTCAAAGCCACAACCTGTTGTGCTCTAATGTTAATGTTGACATTTTAGACTTTGACGATGTTACTTTGAGGTGAAAAGAGATCCTTCTATATATAGCCAAAAAAATTAATAGTTTTGGTTGTGTCAGCACAATGACTATTAATGCATCTAGAACTCATGGTTTAGTGCAGCACAGATACTTTTAAAGGATAATTTAAAGAAATAATAATAATTTAGGATCCTATATGCATGATCACAAACAATGTTATTGTAATACTGCTGTATAATAACCTGTTTTCCTACATACTGTAGCTGTGCTGGTTCCACATCTCTTATTTCACTCTGTAACTCATTATAAAACAATTTAAACTTAAATAATTTCATGTCCATTTATCTAACATTATCATTTGTGTTGGAGTCCTATTAACCATATCAAGGTTTATTTTGTGATAATGACCAGCAGACTGTAGATTATCCCCTATATGAATATAAATGAGCATCAAAGTAAAGAACAATTTGCCAAGAAATATATGCATTTATTATGCAAATATTATATTTTTTCTTAAACTCTCAAAGTACTCCATATTGGCTGAGACGGGATAATGTGAAAGACTGAAAGACCTCATTTCTACAGATAAAAAAAAACATGAAGCCAATAGAGTGAACAAAATCTCTACAGCACTGAGATAATTCACTTGTACTTATTGCAAAGTTATTTTATATTCAATATATTCAGTTAGGGATATTGCATTCAATTTAGGTCAGATTATATTATCTTTAGTCCCATAGAAGTTTATATTACAATTTGAATCAGACCTTTCATCCATGAGATGCGTGGGTGAGGACTGCCAGCAGGGAGGCAGCTGAGAGTGACGGGATCTCCCTCCAAGAGAACGTGATCCCTTAGTTTGATATGGAACACAGGAGGGAAGTCTAATTGTTGAGAGAATCAGTGAAAAGATTAGTGAGATAATTTATCTCACACAGCTGTGCCAAAGCAAGTCCATATGCATAATTGATTCACTGATGACATACGTAAATCTTTATAACAAAACTGGAAGTAATCAAATAGATGTCTCATTTTGTGCACAAGTTACTGTGAAATGCGTAAATGAAATGTGCAATACCAGATGTTAGACGTGTGTACTGGCGAGAGCGGAGAGAGCCATTCTCCCTGGCAATGGAAGCTGGGATGTCTGGTTGGGAAACCGTCTTGTCTCTTTTTCCCATTGTCAACCCCCAGCGATCCCATCGTGATCTGCGCTCGATTTCTGCACCTGGAAAATAATTATGGCCTTAATTATGGCCTTTCAACAGCATGAAGGAATTATCAAATTAAAAGCATTAACCAAAAAATAACATACATTTAACAGCTGATTCTGACTGGATGCTTGACATGGAATCGAGAGATTCTGATGACGTCCCTTTCCCTGATTGGGCAGCCAGTTGATTCTGTGGAACACCCATCCTCTTCAGACTGCTACCCTCTGAGGTGGAACGCCGCATTTTTGTAAATATAGGTGTCCTCTTCTCCATCTTGCTTTCATTATCAGCTTTCCTTTCCTCAGAGTGGCTCCTAATCCTTGTTGATAGGCTTGCCATGGTACTGCCAATCTTCTTGCGCATGGCAAGGATCGGTGACTCTGAGGGTGCTTTGGACTCAGGCTCTGGGGGAGGCTCAGGACCTCCATCCAACCTCACCATCTCAATCTCTTTCTTTTCTTGGGATCCTCTCCTTCCCAGTGCCCAGGACAGACGACGCCTGGGTGCTAAAGCTTCCTCCTCTTTGAGCTTCACTTCCTGCCTCTCTACTGATGGGGTTCTTTTCAAGCGCATTGAGAGTCTCCTCATGAACCCAGGGTCCTTCTCTGCCTCACGAAGATCCTGAACTGACTTGGACTTCTCCTCCAACCTCCTTGGTACAAATTGTAAAGGTGCACCAATTGGCCCTGGGCGATACATTTCTTCTGCAGTTTCTGGAGCAACAGTGGAAGGCTTTTCTTCAGTCTTCTGGAATGAGAAGCGTTTAAGACTACGAGTTAGAGAGGACTCACGCTTCTTGAAGCGAGCTTCAAAGACTTCTTCAGATGCAAGGTCCCGAATGTTGCATCCAGGAGACGGCTCTCGCTTAGGGGAGGCACGAGTGGGAGTCTTAGGAGGACTTGGCTCTTTAGGAGGATGTTCTGTTGAGGCAACCCGAGAAAAGACTGCAGGATGTTCAGTGGTTTGGTGAAGGTCTGGTTTGGATGAAGAAGTTGACAAAAGGGTTGGTTCAGAGATGTGTCTGGAAATGGGTGCATAGACTGGAACTGATGGTGGGGTGGATGTTGTTGTAGGTGTAGGTACAGGAACAGGATCGGGTTGGCTGGATGTCTGGACTGATGGTACCATAATAGTCTGCATGATACTGGCATATGCAGACACCCTACCATCTGGGAGCACTGTACGTGCAGGGAGCGATGGAGTCACATAGGTTGAGACAACACTCTGGGGGCTGAGAGCTGGGGCAGCTATTGGGGTCACTATGATGGAGCTGGTGGAAATGGTGATCTCTGGAGACTTTGGTGATGCCTTTACATCACCCTCAACTTCTTTAACCTCAATCTCTGGAGCAAGAGGCTCCACTTCTTTCTCTGGTTCTTCATCCTCTCTTTCCTCCTCTTCCTCAATTGTTTCCTCTGCTATGGGGGTCTTCAGCTTAATTTCATCCACTTTTTCAGACTCTTCACTGAGCTCCTCTAACTTGCCCTGGACATTCTCTTGTGCATCAGTCTCCCAAGATTTCTGATCAACACTTCTGGATACATCTGCATTAGTCTTTGACACAACAATGACTTCTTTAGATTTATTGTCCTTGTAGACTGCTGACTCTTTTTCCTCAATTTTCTCTTCCTCATGTCTCTCTGGATCTGGCATATGAATTTTTAGGGTGACAGGGCGAGAATCCTTCACTGGCTCTGTGAGAGCAGACATAGATACAGCTTCCTGCAGTCGTCTCTCTTCTATTTGTGCAAGTGGGATCTCTAGAGGTGCTCCCATCCGTCGGTGCAGGGGCATGGGCTCTGAATCACCCTGGCTAAAGGAAGCACTCTTGCGGAGTATCTTCGTCTTTGGGATGTCATCCCTAGGAGACTCACTGGATGCCGCTCTAACAAGTGGAGAGTTACCAAGGCGAGACCCCCGCACATAGCGCTTCTCATCCCCCATACCTAATGTCTCTAGCAATGGGCCTCGTAATCCACTCATCTTGTTGTCTACAGAGCCACCCCTGAGAAGTCTCTGCCTCATCAGTTCCAATTTCAGGGCATAGTCTTCCTGGCTCAGCTTTGCAGCTCCTGGACTTGGGCTTCTCCTTGGAAGCTCCATAGATACTGACTTTTGTAGAATTCTACTTCCATCGGTAGAGTTTTCTTCTGTGCCCTCCTCTGTTTTGATGTGGAGCTGTAGGGCACTGTCAGCCGAGCTCCCTCTGCGTAACTCTCCTCTGCGACGCACTCCCTCAGGCTCATCTGACTCCATACTTGAACCTCTGCGCATTGGTCTCTTTGCCTGTTCGGCTCTTTTGGCCAATTCTGCTGGTTCTTCATCAGATGAGCCTTTTTCATCTTCTTGCGTTGACCTCTTCCTGGCTCTACCCCTAGCAGCTGCATCTCCACCCTCTCTCTCTGACGTCTCCACTTCCATGGGCTCTGACATCTGATGGCTAGAAGCAGGCTTCACAGCATTTCCATTCGGTCTACCGGTCATTTCATCATCCCCTACAATTTCAGTCAGTGACATTCTAGAACCTGAGAATTCCATGTTTATGGGCATTGGGATAAAAGGCAGCTCATCAATGTCTTCATCTGAATCTGAAGATGATGAAGGTGGTGGTGAGCCTTGTTTCAGATGTCGTGGAACAGCAATGGAAATATGGCCTGAGAAGTCATCCAGTAACTCGGCTATAGACCTCATCACCATCTTAGATTTATAGCTGATAAGAGATCGCTAAAAGAGATAGGCGAACATTGTTACAATGACAGTCTCAAATAACCTATAATGTTTTAAACACTGAACAAAGGTCACTAATATAATCTTACCTGCCATTTTCTTCTGGACAAAAACTTTTTAAGTGAATCTGTGCTGATGCTCTTACCCTTATCCAGGGTCTAAAAGAATGAAATATGTATTTTAACAGTGATGGCAAATAACTGTTTCCATTAGAGTTATAGTGAAGAAATACTTTGATCTGAAATGTTTACAACTTAAATTAACTGGCAGATATGTTGTATTCATTTAAGTAACACATTTGGATAGCAATGGGCCTAAAGGAGTATTTCGTCTTTACTCCTCTACTCTGTCGTTACCTTGAACCAGGGGTGCCGAAGACATTCATTAGCATCAGGTCTCCTGCAGATAAAACAACATTAAACAAATTGCCAGTTAACACAAAGTGCTCTTAGCAGTAGAAATAATTTTCTCGACAATAAATTATCAACAGGACATTGGTGCAGCAGATAAGAACCCTAGATTCCACTTACAATCTATCAGCCACCAGCAGTTTGATGACGAATCCCTTAGCTTCATGGCAGAGGTCGGTAAACATGCTTTCTTCAAAAGCCACATTATAGTTCCTGATGTTGAGAACAGAACTGCGGTCGTTTTTTCCAGCGAAAGGAGAAACTCCAGTGAGACTGCAAAACAGAGATGTTGATAAAGTCTAACTGAAGATACTGGTATTAGTGATGAACATTCTAAGTAAATATATAATAAACATATTTTCATAATATACAATTGCAGAACAAAACTCTAAAAAAAAACTAATATAATATAATACAATTATATCAATAATTTTATTATAATAGACACAATTGAAATAATCTTACCATAAGTATGTTAGAACTCCAACAGGCCTGTAAGAAAAAAAAAAGTCGAATTGTGAGACACTAATGTATTCATGATACTAGAGGCTGCATACAGATTTGTTCAAGAGCTGTTTTGTGATGGAGGGACCAGGTGCGTTACCAGATGTCCGTTGCCTTGGAGACGGGTGTCTGGTTAACAATCTCTGGGGCGACAAATTCTGGAGTGCCATATTTGCAGTACTGTGCCTCATCAGGCGTGCACTTTACAGCATTTCCAAAATCACATATGCGGATCTGATCACTACTAGGGTCTGCCATGAGGATATTATCAGGCTGAGCGAAAAAAAAAAGAAGAGTCTAGTCAACACATCGGTTCCTTACCGTGATTATAAAGAGTGAAAAATTTAAGGGGGTCTGAATACTTTCCGTACCCACTGTATGGAAGTAAATGGTAATGACAGCAAATTACATAACATTTACCTTTATGTCTAGATGAAGTATGTCATGCTGATCAAGATAGCTAATACCCTCCAACAGCTGCCTCACGCTGGATCGGATCTGCAGCAAACAATTCAGACAGTTTAGGGACACGTCACTTTTGCTAGTCCTGTCCCTACAGAAATTCTCTGAGTAAATCTGAAAATAATCCATTCTGTATCCTCTAGATAACTAGAGGATGCAAAAACAAATGGTCCACAACAAACCAAATGTGACAAACCGGAACAAAATAGTCTGCTCAAACATTTGAAACTTTTCTGGTCACTTTGAAAGATCAAACTAGTTCACCCACCTCTGACTCCATTACTGTTGATTTCTTTGTGAGCCTTTCGAGAAGCTCCTCATGGCATCTTTACACATTGTCAAGGACAATCACAGTGATGGGGCAAAGCTTGTGATCAACTCATCATCACTACAACATGTGAGAGGAAGTTGTAATTGTGCCAGATTGGATGTGAGATAGTGTATACAGCAGGGTCCAAAAATCTGTCCACAAGTGAAAATGCATCTATGTTACATACCAGTTCTATTTAATACAATTTTCATCACAAATTATATAATAATAATAATAATAATAGAATAAGTTCACAGTTGAATTGAAAAATTTACATCTGTCTTAGTATTCGTTTTGTTTTTCTTTTGCAACCTAGAAGTAATGCAAAACCTTACTATTTCTTATTCGTTTTACACACTTTTCTGTGTTTTCAATTTTTTAAAAGCCTAAAATTTTCTGCTCAAACTTGATTTGAATTTCAGATTTTCAATATGGACTCAAGACTTTAAGACTCCACTGTGATTGTATCAATATAAGTGCATGTTTTATGTAAGTATCCTTTCTTTGCGTGTCTTCCCAGGAGACTCTGACCTGAAGGACACATATGCCAACTATTTGTGACAGTCAAAGCACAGATGGACCAAAGCAATACACACGGAACGATTCTAAGGCAGATGACTAAGGCAGGTGTGAATATATAGGGTACAGATTACACAAGCATTTTTCTGTACGACTGACTCACAATGAACTACAAGATAATAGATTGTCATGACAAACTTTGAATGTCACAGAGTTCAAAATAAAAACATAACTTCATTTAATTAAACTTGCTTTTATAGTCTGTGATCCCTAAAGCTCTAACAAAGGATACAGCTCTGTAATGATGATGACTGCATTCTTCTTCTCAAAGGCATCGTGAAAGTAGAGGATCCTCTCATGGTCTAGATGAGACAGGATGTTCAGCTCTCTCAGAGCGGAGGCCTTCCGTTTAGCCCGAGCAGAAATGAACTTGGCTGCATATTCAATCTTTCCCGCCTTCTGTATCACTCGTTTCACATATGAGAACGCCCCTCTAAGGAAAGAACATTTCTCATCAAATCATAGAAAATAAGAATATTTGTTTGGGAAAAAGGTGAAAAAATGGTTTATTAATTAACAGCAAACTAACTGATAATCAGTGGAACAATAGCATGATTCAACCAATGAAAAGAGTGTGTCAAAGAAAATATAAGTAATTAATGCTTATTTCATTTAAATGTAATGTGTTAAAATTATGCTTTTGCAATTTTGTTGCATGCCACTAGTAGCACAGAAATTACACTCTTCACTTTTAAAAATGACCAGTCTAATTGAATAAAGATTTATTGCAATTCACAGTAACATGACTTTGTAATACCTGTTTTTTGGTACAATACTACAAATATAAATGGTTGTTTTAATGCTATTTTTCCAGTTTCTTTGGTGTACAATACCAGTCCATCAATTAGCTCATACCCTCATTGCTGTAATGTAATTGTGTTTGCCTAGTCTCACCATAGGCAATACTTTGTGTTACATAATAGCACCAAAACCTAGTGAAATTCCTTATTAAAAAAATGTTTCTTGAGCACCAAATCATCATATTAGAATGATTTCTGAAGGATCATGTGACACTGAAGACTGTTGACTGTTGAAAATGCAGCTTTCCCATCACAGAAATAAATAATGAGATTGAAAAGAGACGTTTGAATATGAATATGTTTAAAGAGTAATAATATGTCACAATATTACTGTTCTTGCTGTATTTTGATCAAATAATTTCAGCCCTGGTGAGCATAAGAGACTTTCAAAACATCAAAAAATCTTACCGACTCCAAACTGTTAAATAGTGGTGTACGTACAGAAAAATATTGTGTAAAATACTCAATTTTGAACATTCACATCAACATTTTTCAGTATTGAATGAAACGCATATTTATAATCAACTTTTTCTGTTCACCATCTGTGGTCAAAATGTTGCCAAAAGATACAAAGCATCAAAGAGTGCACCTATGATGCCTTAACATCCTTTTAGAGCAGACAGCTCACTAGGTTTTGGAAAAGAGCTATTATGTGTGTAGTGCTGTAGCATGTGTCTGTTTGCAGCGTGTTCAGGTCTTAATAGAACGGTGGCAGTCGGCCATGAAGATTATAATTAAAGCACAGAGAGAGTGACAGCATGCAGAGCAGAGATACAGCGCCACAATGGCTGCACTCCTCTCCGCCCAGTCGAGCGCTCAGTGTACCACTGTGTCAAACAAATAACCCTCCCTTTAAAATGTGGCTTTGACCATCATATATTAAGCAGTTTCAAAGTCGCATTGATGCTGATCTGGGGTGCGTTTCCCAAAAGCTTAGTAAGCTAACTATGGTCGTTAGTTCCATTGAACTCTATTTGGTAACAACGGAACTTACGACCATAGGTGCTTTTGGGAAACTCACCCCTGACATGGTTCAAAACTGGTATGGTTTGAGAAGCATGTCGAGTAAATCGCTGAATATGCAAGTGGCTTTAGAAGCTAATGTACTGTTTATTTCCATATTATTGAACATATTGCTTTAAACTGACAGGCCTAATATTTATATAAAGTGGTTATGGGTAGTTATTCAATACAGAAGCTGCGCAAACCTTATTAAGAAATCTGTATGAGGCACAGAGATCCCATTTTTTATAACCTGGGAAATTTCAAGGGTCTTGTGGCCTCTTCTGAAGTGGCTGAATCATTCCTTGATTGTGGAGCTTGAAATTGCATACTTCCCTACTAAAAGTGCATTTGTAATAATGTGCCAACCCTTTCCTCGGCTGAAGCTTTATTAAAACTTAGGCGTGTGTGATGAGTCAGAAGACCTGAGATCTGTCATCAGCGAGAGCTGATGGAGTTGGCTTTTTGAATTTCTAGGCCGACAGAGGAAATCATTAGAGATAAATGGTGGATGTCCAAGTGAGGCTCCGGGCGGATGACTCACCTCCCAATTTCCTTGTGCACATCATAGTAATCAGTGAGCCTCCGCATCTTTCTTAGGATGGACGCCTCATCCACCATGGGGTCGTCTTTGTACTCTTTAACTAGACACAGAAAGCCGTGAAAAATAATCAGAAATGACAAAGTTAATTTCTAAAAGCCAGTCAAATGAATTGGCAAGTTTTGCTTGATCAGGCTACACATGCACTACAGGTTTTATAGTTGCTTATTTTCAAGTTTTTCCTAAACATTTCACCACCATTTTAATATGCACAAAATAAATATATTTGAATAAACAAAATAAATATGTATTGTTTTTATTACTTTTTTATTCCAAGTGTGCATACAGTATGTAAATAAATTGTTTGAAACTTTATTGTATGTTTTGTTGTGCTTTGTTAACATTATTTTTTGTTCTAGAACAATATTTATTGTAAAAAAAATTTAAAAAGCTAAAAACGTACATTTGTGCAATTAATTTTAAAACATTTATATTTTCCGATAATATTCTGAAATAATATGATTAAAGATACATACCTTTGTACACTTAATCTTACTCATTCAGTATAAATAATAATACAATTTTATAAAAACTTTATATTTTTAGGAAGGGGGCCACTTGTAAAAAGAGTGGGTTCTTGGCAACAAAAAATTAATAATTGTAATCTTAAGTTAATTATTAATATCCTCATAATTTCAGAAACTCGTTGGAACTGGTGGAGGACCCATCACCCATACAAAATGCTATCTTTGGCCCCACAACAGTGCTGGATTCATCACTTTGTTCCATCTCACCTGGTTAGGACACCAGGTTGCAGTAAGGTGGTGGTGAGTCAACATGCTTAGAAACAACCTCCTTCATTAAAGTGAAAGTGCTTACCGATGTGGACAGTCAGCTCAGCCTTGCAGGACACAGAACCGGCCAGATTCTTAGCAGTACAGGTGTAAACTCCTGAGTCATCGGCTTGAGTGTTCAGTACCACTAGAGAACATTCATTGTCATCGTACACAAATGTGAAATGGCTGCTTTCGGACAGCAGGGTGTCTCCCTGAAAATCAGAAAAACGACTGAGTGGCCATCCAACGGTTGTGATTTGAATTTAAAATGCATTTGTGTGGGTTTAAGGTGAACAGGGTAGTGAGGAATCAAATAAAAGGCAAAGCCTTGAGGCAGGAGATGGAATAACCAACAGTATCATTCAAAGCATAAATTAGTATGATTTACAGGATGTGATAATGCTCTCAGTGATATGACTCAAGAAAATATGAGGCAAGCAGTGTTAGTGAGAGATCAGCAGGTGAGGCTGAAAAGGTTTGACTTCTAAATCTGAATAAAAGTCAGATCAGCCTTTAAAGTTTTTAATTAAGTTTATCTTAAATGATTTTTTTCTGGTGTACATGGGAAATAGAAAAGAGCTGAACCTTCAGCTAAACCCTCAGTGACTATAACTGATATGAAAACAACAAACATCTACCACAGCATGAGTGTCAGGAAAGGCTTATGGTGAAACAGCAAGAATTTTTGGTTTCAAAGAATTGGGGTTTTTAAAAACAAATCTAAAGCACAAGTGCTCCCAGCTGCCCTCTGCAAAATTTTTACATTTATTTTTATATTTATAATGGTAAAAGAAAAATATATTAAGACATTTTTGTATTTATAATGTTTATAATTTATAATGTTTTTTTCAATTTAAATGGGGTATTTTTTAACTACTATTTAAACGCCCAGTTCGCAAGCTGCGATTTTGATGAGTATTACAGGTTTTCACTGCCACAAATCTAGATTTATTAAAAGAGAACCATATTTAATAGAATATAAATCCTCAAAAACTATTTTCTAATGAAATGATACGTGCACTGCAACACAAACACACACCTTGTACCAAAGGATGTCGGGGACGGGCTTTCCTTCAACCACCACTGCAAAACGAGGAGTCTCGCCTACATTCACCTCCAGGTCTTCCATGATGGTCTCAAAAGTTGGCGCCACTAGATACAGAGAAATCAATGAGACTCAGAATATGTGCAATAATAAGAAACTCATCCAGTTTGTATTCTGTACACAGCAACATACCTGCCATTTCCAGGGTTAGGGTGCAGGAGTCGCTGCCATACTTGTTGCTGGCGATGCAGGTGAGCTGACCAACATCACTGCTCTTTACCTTGCACAGATTCAGTGTATGCTGGTCATCATCAGGCATGCTCAACTCAAACAGACCCAGTCTGTTAGACAATGTCACTCCTCCTCTGAAAATATAATGGCAAATAACTGCTCGTTTTCTTTTGTTCAACTACAGTCACATGTCCTTGCAAAAGCAAACGCAAAATAGTTTAGGTTATATGACTACACAATTTAATAGATGCAAGAAACAAAAGACAAAACAGAATGCAAATAGGTGTAAAACTGAGAAAACTGATTAGGGATTCTGAACAAACCCTAACCCCTTAAATTATAGCAACAAATAATTTTTAGCATAGGAAAAACTTGTACTGCACGTCTTTATACAATCAAAGTTACCCTGGGAATCATGATTTCAAAAGGATGGAAGGCATAAAACAATGATTAATTTTTTTTCTGATCATGACACAAAGATATTGTATTGTATTCAGAGACTTGCAGCAATGCAACGAGTCATATGTACTACTATAATGGTACTTTGTCAATTTTGAGACTTGCAAGTATAAATTCCCACTTTTCATGTATGTAAAAAAGCAGCTCCGACATTCTTAGAAATATCTCCTTTTGTATTAAATTTAAGAAACAACATGAAGAAGTGTAAATGATGACAGAATTTTCATTTTTTAGCATTTTTATCCTTTTAAATGTTGTATTTATCAACAGTCCTACAGGTTATGAATAATTATTAGGCATAACAAAAAAGTATATGGCCTATAATTAATTTAACAAATCAAAATGCATTTCCTGAAATGCCAGTGCTTTTCTAACTTCACTCATAAATGTCTGAAAATGTATAAAGTCACAAATTATGAAATAGAACAAACCCTAACCAAAGCGGTATATTAATAGAGTGCTGTATTAATCATAGCAACAAATAATTATTAACACATGAAAAATTGCACAATGTCTATTCTCAAAAAAAAAAAAAAAAAACGCAGCTATCATGTGTATCATGATTTGAAAGGGTGGAAGGCAGGACTTTTATTTAATAATCATATGTACAAATATGGTGCTTTTTTTGTCTTGAAGCTGGCAAATATATATATCCAACCACTTTTGTTGTATGTAAAAGAGCAGCTCAGACATTCTGCTAAAGATCTTTTTTGTGTTTTACAGAAGAAACAACATGAGGATGAGTAAATGAGAGTATTTTAATTTGAGCAGTTTAGCCCTTTACGTTTTGTATCAACAGTTTCATAAATTATGAATAATTATTAGGCATAGATTAGGCATAGCAAAAACGTACCCATTCCAAAATGATTCAATGCAATCAAAATGCAAAATACCTCTTCCATGTGACCGATGCATTGACATGGTTGAGAGTGACTGTGATGCTTAAGGGCTGCTTCTCCACCATATATACAATGTCCGGCTTGTCAGTAATTACAGGAGCCTCCTGGAGGTACGGACCTGCAGACGGAGAGATAAAAGCCAGTCTCCTGCAGTAACTCATACATCTCATTAACCCGTCTGACTGTGGCTGTCCTTGTCTGCTGAGGCATACCTCTATCTAGCAGCTGCACTGGCTCGGTGGCAGGTGATGGCTTGCTAAAGGCCTTGCTGGTGATTGATAGCACCCTGAAGGCGTAGCGGACACCTTTAGACAGATTGGTAATGGTATAGGTGGTCTGTTTCAGGCAAGAAGCGATGATGGTCCACTGGATTGACCCTAGAGCTTGCTGCTGAACAGCATACATCAGGGAGCTAGGATCTGGAAATAAAAATAAAAATCGTTTTGCGTTAAATTTGAAAGCCAAAACCATAAAAGAAATCTAATTACTTCCGATCCATTTTTCAATTACACTGCAAGGAGAGGAAACTGTGCTTGACAATGTAGAACAAGGACACTGAGATTTTATGGCTTAGGCAGTCAATTCAGCAGTATATCTGTGACTGTTTCCAACAACATCACCAAGACATAGAATATCTGTTGGAAAGCAATAAATAAAATGTTGCTGTACCACAGTGCTGGTAAACTATATTTAGCAGGTGTCCATACTTGGAAATGTGTTAAAGGGGTCATATGTATTCTCAAAAAAGAACATTATTTTGTGTATTTGGTGTAATGAAATGTGTTTATGCGGTTTAAAGTAAAAAAAACACATTATTTTCCACATACTGTACATTATTGTTTCTCCTCTATGCCCCGCCTTCTGAAACGCGTCGATTTTTACAAAGCTCATCGGTCTGAAAAAGCGAGGTGTGCTCTGATTGGCCAGCTATCCAATGCGTTGTGATTGGCCGAATACCTCAAGCGTGAGACGGAAATGTTACGCCCCTCACCATACTGTGTTGATGCCGTGTCCCGGCCGGAGCAACGACACAAAAACATGAAAACCCATTACAAACGAGGCATTTGTTGCATCCAGTGGGGACATAATTATTGATTATAATGACTTATACTGTCTTTTTACGCGTTGCGTTGCATCGTGCCGCGTAAACATAAAACCATGTCTGTATTTGTGATCAGAGAAATGACAAACAACAAGTGCTAACGTTAATCCACACTGCCCAAAACTCGCGTTTGAATCATCAGTGGCAAATGATAAAAGAAAACGTACTTACGTTAGTCAGAACTGCCGGCATTTTAGTCTAACGTTACTCTCCCAGGATCAGTAAACAGTCCTCCATAAAATGTGCCGGCGATCCACAGCACTAAGTTGAAGTATTCCCTCAGCGACCAGCACAGATCAGCTCTAGGCATGACGAAGCGGATATCGTCCTCTTTTGGAAGACCAAACAAAGTAGTTTCGCTTTCACAACGAAGCACACAGCGTCTTCAGGACATGGCGGCAGCGGCAACAATACTACAGCGAGAATAAAAGTTACGCCTTCTTTCTTTGCGTGAACATTTGGGCGGCGTTATGCAAATCTTTCCACATAGTGAGGTAGATATGTGGGGGCGTGTTCGAACGAGCCGTTTTAGGGGGGTGTGGCTGACTCTTAACTTTTATAAAGAATATCTCTTTGGATTTGAGACTTTAGTCTTTGCAAATTTACAGATCTTCTTTATGCACCAAGAGCTTGTAACACTCCAAAGAGAAAGGAAAAAATGAAATCGCATCATATGACCCCTTTAAGGAAATAAGAGGAGGTCAGGTTAATCATCTGTGATGTTATCCAACCAGCGTCACCACATTGTTGCTCTATCAATATTTACTGTACATTTAATATAAAGAGAGGATGCCAATAGAGTGACTCTTGGAAATAAAAATCACAAATGAGATCTCTTTAATGGAAGAGTTCACCCATCATCTAAAATTTGTTAAATTCAATCACTTTTGTTACACAAAGCTGTCATATGACTTTAGAAGACTTAAAATATAGTGCAAAGGTTTCATAATTATGATGCTTCTGTGGTGCTTTTGAATCATTTTTTAAGCTTGAAAGCATCAGTTTCTATGCATTGTAACTGCATGGAAAATAGTGATCATTAAATGTTGTACATCATTAAAAATTTCTTCATTGGTTGGCGAAAGAAATGCATACAGGTTTGAAATGACATGAAAGTCAACAGAAATTTCCTTTATTGTCAAACTAATCCTTTAATTTCTCTGTTTCTCCAAAACCACACTAAGATTAAGAAGAGAGCCACTGATCACAAAAAAAGTAGTCCCGTCCCAAACTTACACTATTGGTTGAACCTTATCAAGTTGTAACTGTGGTTCAATTAGTGGTTCAGAAATGACACACTTCACTTTAAGGAGCCTTGCTTCTCTGATTTTGCGCTTAAAAGCCCAATAATCTCAAATTTCTCTTTAGAGTTTCAGATATGTCAATAAGTCTCATTTGTGTTTTTTTTTTTTATTTCCTCTAAAGCATTTTAGGGAAACATCTGAGAAACAATGGATATTTAAATGAAACATAACTGGGAACTCCATTAAGAATAACTCTATTATCCTACAGCTATGAAAGAGCAACCACTGACCAATTAAAATGTTCCTTTGGGGAACAGTATAAGAACAGTTTCAAAATTAAATGAATATACATAAATAACATGCATAATTATACCAATGGACGGATCCAGTCTTCTGGGTTTCTTCCAGCTTAGTGTGATAGTCTTGCCAGTGATGGACTCAATGACTGGGGCCCCATCTGGCGGGTCAGGAAGGATGTCTAAAACGGCAAAAGTGTCAGTCAGAATATTTATTTGGTGCCAGAGTCGTCTCTCACTATTTTTCACACATGCACACATATGCTTCAGTCTTAAAATAAAATGTAGTATTACTTTGAACAGTCTGGGATGTGGAAAAGATCAGAAATAACAGGGTGACTACAGATATGAACAAGTTTTAAAGATTTTTAAAAAGATTTTGTCAAATTTAAGATTTTTTAAAACTTTTTTTTAATACCACCTTATGTGACATTTAAGACCAACCCTGTGATGGAAATACACATTATATTACATACTTATATGTAATATTTAATGTATTTAATGTATCAAATATATCATCACTGTCAACAATGCTATTCATTATTATGATATACAGTGAACTTTTCATATCAGCAGACATTATCCCATACAAAATTTAAAAAAGCACCGCATCACCAAGATTTTTGGTGGTGTAAACAATTTATTCCGAAGCAATATTTTCATCAGTGTTCTATCAGCTTTTACACACTTAAAAAAACGTAAATGTTTTTAATATTTACCCCAGGATGTTATTTACCTTTATAAAGACCAATATTTTTTAACCTTATTAAATGTATGAGTCATCTTTCATGTCAAATTCTTACAATTAATCAAGAAATTCAACATACTCTACAGGGCTGTTAACAATCAAATTAAATAATTTACACTGCAAAAAAAAAAAAAAAAAAAAATCACATCAATTTTTTGGTTTTTACTCTGGGAACTTGTGTAATATGCATGTTTAATGTGTCAATACTGTAGTCACTAATCCTTGAAATCATGTAGAGATGATGTTCAGATTGTGGCCAAAATATTATCATAATAAACAGTAATATATAAAAAATGTGCATGACAGCTTTTTTTTTTTTCTTTTTTACTTAGCCTTTTTTAAGATACTCTTTTTCCTAAATATAATATATTGGAATATATTTCCAATATATTCAATATTGTCAAACATAGCTAACAGAAGCCACTGATATATTAAACTCACCTGTCACATAAAGATGGGCATAGCAGGTGGCCTTGCCCATCTTATTGGAAATGACACACTTGTAAACTCCTCCGTGGGCATGACAAACAGAGCGGATCACCAGGCTGTGAACATCTCTGACTACGGAAGAGACAACATAGAGAACAAACACTTTATATTCCTGCTATTCCCGCCACTCACACTATCATTTCCATAAGGACTGCTTTCCGGAAAAGCTTAGCAGACAGTAAGAGAATTGAATTATGTTATCAACTAACTTACACTGTGTCATTTTTCTGTCCTCTGTGCTGTCAATCCTCTTGCCATTGTGAAACCAGATTATAGTTGGGTATGGCAGGCCAGCCACTTTGCACCTGAGCACAGCCTCTCTGCCCTCAACTACATCCAGATCATAGAGCGGCTTGACAAAGTCAGGCATGGTGAAACGTTCCACCTCATTCTCAGGCACCTCAGGTTCCTCAGGAATGGAGGGCATTTTTTCCAGCTTTGCTCTGGTAAAGATAAACCAAAACCATCAAGCTGTTTTTATGCAAAAATGAAAATGTTAAGAACACTTAAATGATTGTAGACCATCGCCGCTTCACCCAAAAATGAAAACTGTCATCTTAAACCTGTCAAAATGCTGTTTTTGTCTGTGCACAAAGCTATCTTATCCAATCAGAAGACTTAGAATGTGGTGCACTTATCGTATAGATAACATTATGGTGTTTTCTGGAACTCAGCAGCCAAACTAAACTATCCTTCTATGGAAAAATTTTGTGAAATGTTTCTTCAAAATTTCTACTTTTGTGTTCCATGAACAAAATAACACCATACGTATGGGAGCTTATTTCCATCACGAAATAAATATAAATAAATAATTAATTAAATAAAGGTAATTGTGATTTTTTTTAATCTCTTTTTTCTGAAGTGTTAGATATAAACCCGCAATTGCAAGAAAAAAGTCAAAATTGTGAGATAAAAAGTCAGTTACCTTTTAATGTTTTTAATTCTTTATTCATTTATCCGACTTCTCAAAATTTTGACTTTTTTCTTGCAATTACTTTTCTTGCATTTCAAAATTCAGACTTTTCTTCTCAGAATTATATCTCACAATTCTGTCTATTTCTCTCAGAATTGTTTGTCGCAATTCTGAGTTGATATTTCGCAATTCTGACTTTTTTCTCAGAATTGCAAGAAAAAAAGTCACTATTACCTTTTTATTATTTTTTGTATTTCTTATTCCTTGTGGCGACTTTTCACAATTTTGACTTCTTCCTTGAAATTGATAGTTTATATCTCACAATTCAGACTTTTTTTCTCAGAATTATTTCTCAGTTCTGAGTTTATATCTCGCAAAAGAAGAAGAACTTTCATTTTTGGGTGAACTAAACCTTTAAAACAAGTTCTGAGTGAATCAGTGAATCATTAGTCACAAGGTCATACATTTGAGAGGATATTGCTGGTCTGGGCTCCTGCACATATAGCTCCGCTGCGCACTCAGCCTCTCCGTGTGAGTTCTGTGCTACTACTGTGTAGAGACCCTCATCTTCATTATTAACATGAGAGATGATTAATGAGTGCCGTCCACCTTCTTTTACGATCCGAATGTCTTCGCTTTCCTCCAACGGATGATCTGTTGAAGACATGACACACAAATGACTCAACCATCTTGATGTTACTTTACAGGACTGACACTGGGAGGCACTCAAGGGAATTAGATTCATACCAAAGTGGCTCCAGATGACCTGAGGAGGTGGCGTCCCACTGACCTTGCAGTCAAATCGAGCATTACGACCCTCTATAACTTCTAGTACATCCAGCTTACGGGTGAAGAGGGGCTCTATGGATGCTACCACCTTTAGCTTGGCACTAGAGGTCAGCTCCTCTGTAATTCACATGACATGTGAAGTGAAATTGACCATTTGAGCTGCTCACGTCATGAAACCTTTGGCAAAAATTGTCATCCTTATAACCCTAGCAACATGTTTATTTATGGGCATAAAACGGGCAGTTTCTTTTGTTGCTACAGCATGTTTTAAGGAATAGTTCACTCAAAAATAAAAACTCATTATTGTCATTATTTACTCACCTTCATGTTGTTCCAAACCTGTATGACTTTCTTTATTCTATGGAACACAAAAGAAGATATTTTGAAAAATGTGTTTATTTTGTCCATGCATTGTTGTTTTGGACTGCATTGACAAAAAAAAGTTGAAATATTCTTTAAAATATATTTTTTTGTGTTCAGCAGAAGAAAGGCAGTGATGCAGATTTTAAACAACATGAGGGTGAGGGTGAACTATCCCTTAAAGCTTTCTGAGCACAACAATCCACTCTGAAATATGCTGGTCAAACTGTATAGGCCAGACTGAAATAATCATGATGTTTGTTAAAAATAAACTTCAGTTGCAGAGTTGCAGGTGCTACACCCAGCCAAGAAATTGTCATTCCTCATGATACAGTATGACTCATTTAATGTGTGGACCAATACCAAGCTGCTCACCTTTGGCTGTGCTCAGTTTGCACGTGTATGTTCCACTGTCATCCTCATGTACAGAGTTAAGCAGCAGCCTGCACCTTTTCCCGTCAAAGTGCATCTTACAGTTCAACAGAGCTGGTTGGATGAGTTTCCCATCTGACAGCCAATCAACATCTGTGTCCTGTGGGCCGATCACATGACACTCGAACAAGGCAGTCTCCCCTGCCTTCACCATCACGTCCCTCACAGGCCGAATGATGGCCAGGCCTGGCTCTATTGGACGAGCTGGAGGAAAAAAACGATAAGGATCAACTAAAGAGTGGTGAAGAAAAAAAAACCCTATAAGAAAATCCAGAGCTTAAGTTTAAAGCGCACAGGAGTCTTTGCATGTGCCTAATCTGCTACAGATATAAAAGACAGTCTGCTAATAGCATGTGTTGTACAGCAGAGCAGAAATATTAGATGAATATGCTAATACGGTGTCTGTCAGCAGAATCCATTCAAGGCTCAGTACGGATCAGCTCAAAATTATACCCAGAATTCAAAATTGCCTGATCTGAGCTCTTTCAGACTTATAAAACTTACACTGATCTTAAAATGTATATTATGCCAAGGATAAGCGAATGCATATTAAACCAAGGGAACATTTATTTGATTAAAAATACAGTAAAAACCGTATTACTGTGAAATACTATTACAATTTAAAATGACTATTTTAATACATTTTAAGATACATTGCAAATCTTAATTCAGCAGCTATTACTTCAGTCTTTAGTGTCAAATGATCTGTCAGAAATCATTCTGATATGTTGATTTGGTGCTGATAAAAGCATGAATTTTTTTCCTTCATAACTCAATCAATCAATGAATCAATCTTATTGACCCCAAACTTTTGAACGGTAATGTATATATTAAATATACTTTAATATTATATAAATTATAGTTAGATTTTAATAAAACACTGTAAAAATTGAAAAATATTTTTTTAACAACACTGATGCAAAGCTTCTAAAAGATGCATTAAAAGGCAAAACTGCATTAAAGTCTAAACTGTATTTACTGCATAGAAATCATTGAGAGAAAATTATACAACTACTAAAAAATGTTTAATTATATTAAACCAAGGTATGACAATTTCTTCTGTAGTCATGTAAAAGCTACTCGCATTATGCATTCAAACACATTCACTGACTTGCACTGAAATCAGCTGCTGCATTAATTATTTGAAAAATCCTATTTATTAAATATTCAAAAGGTGATAAGCAGTGTTGAGGAAGCTACAAACTGAAGTACTTCAACTACAGTGATTTTCAGGGTAATGAACCTATGAATGGCTTATTTATATTTGTCACTGCATATTAAGCTGAGCAAGAAGAAAGTATTTTAACGGTGAAAATGACGAGAAACAGTACAGAATTATCAACACTTGGGTCTACGTGATTTATCATGCTTGTGATTCATTAATGCACACAAACCATGCAAGACTAGCTGAAACCCTTACCTTTCACCTCCAGTTTGCCCTCACACTGTTTAGTCCCATACTCGTTGATGATCTTGCAGGTGTAAACACCAGAGTCTGACTTCTGTGCCGATTTAATTATCATTTCAAAGTTGCCCTCTTCTGTCTCATGGGCGATATGCCGTGCACCCGTTTTAATGGTTACTCTGTCTCTCAGCCTGATACAAAGGAAAATAAAAGTTTAGTTATGACACAATATATCAAAATGAACAAAGAGTCCATATTGCTTAAAACAATATTATGAGTTGTTTAATCTAGACAAATAAAGGTAAAGATTTTAACGCACCAGTAAAGCATGGGTTTAGGCTGTCCACTCACTCGAACAGACATTTTCACCTCTTGACCCTCTATAACTGTTTGGTCTCCAATAAAAACCTGTTATGTTGGTAAACACAGAGGCTCATTATTGGTTTGTAAAGATAATAGAAACTAAAAATATTAAATGCAAATGTGCAGATAATACGAACCCCTACAGGGACATGTTGATGGTAAAAAAAATAATAATTCAGATGGGAGGAAAAGTAATTTTTCAATGATTTTGCGTTTTCTCCAAGCGGCAACCTCCCGCTCTCTCTCGTGAAGCCAACACGGAAGTGACTTAAACTGTAATTCATCAACTGGCCGCTAGAGGCTGGCTGCAAAAGGGAGTCAATCCCATAGACTCCCCATGTTAAAATGCCCAAATTTACAGCAGAAAAAAACATGTTTACAGCCTGGTTCAAAAAGTGGTTTTGGTCTATATAGCTAATTTTGCCCTTCATGACAACTGTGAGGGGGTGAATTTTTTTTATAACTCATCCGTTTAAATTATATTAAGCCTTAAAGTTCTGCATAATTAAGGGCGTGGCCACTTGAGTGATAGGTGGATTGCCGCTGCTGTCCCCACCGTCGAGCTAGGTGGGCGTGGCTTCACCAACCTGCTCCCGCCTCTTTGCCCATTTTCGATTATCCGGGAGTGACGCGCTTCCAAGATGGCGACAGCCGGCTCCGCCAACTTTTGAGCTTCAAAAAGGCTCTTCGGAAATCTACGGGTGACGTCACGGACACTACGTCCATGTTTTTATACAGTCTATGGTTTTCTCACAAAACTTTGGCATTCCCCAGAAAAAAAAATTGCTTGCAAAACTATTCCATTCCCCAAAAGAACTTCGCATTTGCTCAATAAACATTTGTGATAGAAATCAAATGAATTGGAAGGATGCGAACAAACTTTTCTTGGGGGAACACAATACTGTTGCGAGAGAACCCAAGAGCATTTTTCCTCCCATCCTCCCATGTTTTTTTCATGACCATTTTTTACATGCACAAAAATATCCAGAAAACTAATCAGCATCTCCATGTTTTCCAAAAAAAAAAAAAGAATAGCAGGAATGGTCATGTTTAAGATTATTTTGATTATGAGGATTACATGTTCATATGGATATTCCAATCGCTATTGAGCATCTAAACGTCTTTTCGGGAATAGAAATGGGATCTTCCTTATTTGGAAAATGTGCATGTAAAAGTGCTCAATGATGTATTCTGATATAATATTTTAGTATTATCTGATACCTGAAATGATGGAGGCTCCTTGAATCGAGTATCCACGATCTTCCTCGGCTCAGGTCCCCTGTAGGAGGAGAAATCCATCCCCTCCTCAAGAGGACTGAGGTACTCCTCATCAGATGTGATGGGACTGCTGACGTCCATGGGTACACCAAGGTTCCCACGCTGGTCCTGACTGGGCTCTGTGAGAAACACCAATGGGATTGGAGTGGATTTTACAAGCAATACTTACAGATTTGCATGTTTACATCTACACTTTGGCAACCTTTAACAAGTATAGTCAACACTCATCTAAATAACCCCATTAAAAACATCTGCAGAACAATATGATTTTATTTACTGTTTGTTCAAAAACATCACAGATGTAAAATTCACAGAGAATTACTTTTTGTTTTTGGCTCTGACAGAGAGAAATGGATTAGAAAGGTGATGGGTAAAAGACATGGGCCGAATACAAATCAGGATCCCTGAAGAGAAAGGATACTGTAATCCCAAATCCAATCTCAGAAAGGTCCAGTGACAATGTGAATGCCAGCGCTGGGGACAGATTGCTTTCAAAAAGCATCACAAAAACAGAGGATGAAGAAGATTTACTCAGAAGAGTGTCTAACAACAAGTTTGTTATGCTATGTAGAGAATTTTAAAGGATTTTCAGTGGCATTCATATGATCATATTCATTCGTATTTTGCGTCCTGTTTTCTCATTGTGTTTCATTCTAATTTTTCACTTGTACTAGTGTTTGTCATTTTTGTTTATTATATTGGTGTTTTTCTTTTCTAATTGTATCTTTACTGTAAAGTGTCCTTAAGCACTGGAAAGGCTCTATATAAATAAAACATTATTATTATTATTATCAGAAGACAAGGAATGTGATTTTACAGCTGTGCTCATTACATTAGCATGTAGGTTCATGGCTCTGATGTAAACTAAAAGCTATTGGCTTTTTGACCCTCTAACTCTTCTGTAGGTCCTGCTTCAACTTCATGTTTCAACAAACAGTAAAGAAATCAGTGATCATTGAGCCATTTGCAGCCATCAATGTAAAGCTAAACTGTTGATGTTGATTTACAAACAGAAATAAGCTACTGAACTGAGGCCTCATTTCACAGACTGGGTTTAGGTTAAGCCAGTATTAGGTCATAGTTCAGTTAGGACATTTAAGTATCTTTTATAAACGTGCCTTAGAAAATAACATTACTCACGTGCATCTTGAGACAAAACAATGGCACTGACATATTTTAAGATCAGTCAATGCAAGTTTCATTCAGTTAAAACAGCCCAGACATGCATTTGTAAGGTCCACACACTTGGCCCAAAGAAGGTATCTCCAGTGGAGGGAGCAGATGAAAAGGCACTGATGCATATGTGAGAGAGGCGTTTCCTGCACCACCCCTCTGTGGGGTGTCTTGAAGGTGCCAGTGTATTGTCTGTTTCTCGGGAGATCAAAGTATCTGAGTTTCCTGAGTTTCTTTTATCCTTACACATTTTAGTCTAGGACTAAGCCTTGTCTGTGAAACCGGGGGTGAGAGTCATTCCTTAAGTGAGGTACATGTGTAAACACTTGAAACCGTTTGACATGAGAGGCCCGAAGCCACGGCGTGCAATGAGACTCGGCAATGTATGTACCAGGAGAAAAAATAGACACCATGTCTCTTCTTACACACAGCTTAGAGCATATACAGTATATTACCGTGAACCCAGGTATGATTCTAATTTCAAAGCGGTAACATTTTCAAGAACACCAAATGTCTCAAAGGCAGTGATTACTTTCACTTTTTACAAAAGAAAAAGAAAAAAAAATGGAACTTTTAAAACAAACTAAAGTAGCTTAACAAAAATTAGAAAAATCAAAGCTTGGTCAAATTCTGTAATATTGTACCATTTTTTGAAAACCCACCATGCAAATTCTTAAACGCAAACCTACCTGGCCCTGCTCCTTCACCCAGACCTTGGCCATGTACTAAGCCAAAACCGAGTGCACTAGCGCATGTTCAGTCCCAGCAGTATTTGTATAAATATGTCAGCACCTTAGTGAATGCCCCCAGATTTCAACTGGTAATCTGGTGCAGGCACTATGTCTTCTGTACCCTCCCTTGCTCTTTCTCTCTGGCTCTCTCACTTTCAATAAGACACTACCTCTCACATTTACATCAGCACAAACAGATCCAGATGTCCTCCATTTTTTCCATTCAAGTCAAAGAAACTGCCATAAAATACTTCTCATAGCAACCATCCTATTTATATGCCTCTTACAAACTCTGTCACTTCTGCTGTAGCTCAGTATCATGAACTAAAGAAAATTACTTTCATGCAAGTCTTTCCTCTGTCAATAAAATGGTTCTTGAAATTTCTCAGGAGCAACTGTTTAGCTGTTGTGTCACTGTGGAAAATAAAGACCTGCTTGGCAACAACATTTAATGGCATGTTTAACAACATGCTGTCAATGAAGTAACACAAGGATCCACTGTATATGAGATTATTAAGAGACTGTTTCATGGAAGAAGGATAGCTAAAAATACCCCTGGTATTCACCACCCTAATAAGGCAAAGCTTCTCTTTCTCTTTCTAACTAAACGAAGGTGCACAACGAAAATATTAGAATATGTATTCATACATCCCCACCAGACAAGCCTTATTTAGCATTTTCTGCAATGATTCATGGTAAAATGTGTTAAACAAAACCCATAAAAACAATTACCAAGAATAAATAAATAAATCCTTTACTGTCCACAAAGTAAACATTTGTCTTCAGCTTCACCATATACAATATAAACAACAACACAATGAATCCAAATCTTAAAAACAACATAAAAACCTAAAAATGCAAACATTATACATGCTGTATATTTCACCATATTTCCATATGCACATATACAATAATAAACTAAACTAAAACAGAAATAATAATAATAATAATAATGAATTTAGGTGAAATATACCATAATCTCTTCATAAAACTAGCAAAGCGACTACAGCTGTTTTGACTAAAAAGTGTTTTGGCTAACATTTCCAATTTGTCCAGCCTCATCCACATTTGTGCTTGCATTTTTAAAATTCATTATGAGGCCAGAATGCAGTTAAACAATTGATAAGCTACTACTAAATATTGTAGAAACTTAATTTGCTGGAAAGTTGCTTTGCAACGATTTGTATCGTGAAAAGCGCTATACAAATAAACTTGAATTGAATTCATATGTTCAAATTAACCTCTGAGTTGCTATGGTAACTACCCAGATGGAACCATGGTTGGAGAACTAGGGAGATATTATAGAGAAAAGGAAAAATCAAAGCGGCTCAAAAAAATGATAGAGGAGGCACTGGAAAACCAAACAGAGAGCTCATGTGAGAGCTGGTAGAGAGGAAAAAAGTTGTATGGTTAATTTAATGACTATTTTGCTTTAAAGGTGATTTAAACACCAACACAATGATGCTAACTCCTTCCCTGCAGGGCTGCATGTTGACAGTGTGACTCACTGCCTTTGAACCTACTTAGATATCTGGAGGTATTGAAATTCACTCTAAAATCCCATACGTTACCCTTCAAACTCCCACATCCTCAACTCAGGCTGGAAACACGATATGCTCATCCTTGCTGCACCAAAAATATTTACTCAAAACATTTACTTGGAGGCATTCTCTGCATTAAAACCAAATATCCAGCTCAAGGCAAGTAAAGCGTTTAAAATTATCTGATACTTCTGACTAAGACATGAAAATTAGGAAATCTAATTCTAAGTCTTCTAAAAAAAGATTAAGGGTGTTCACACATGAATTCATTCGTTTTCATTGAGAGTTGGAGATTTGCCGCGACATGAGTGACAGCTATCACTGCCAACCAACCAACAGCAGAGCAAACTGCTGTCAGTGTTAATGTCCATTAAGAAGGGACATCTTACAGTTTTCACCATAAAACACTCACCTGATTTGATGAAAAGTGTAGCGCTGCTGGACACCTCGCCGACCTCGTTAGTAGCAGTAACTGTGTATGTTCCTGCATCAATTGGCTTTGTCCATTTGAGGAGCAATGAATGCCTTTCTCCCTCTACCTTCACAACATGAGTTGGGCTGTTCTTGATCTCAGTGTTGACTCTCTTCCATGTAACTGTATATAAAATACATTTATTTGCTGTAACATCCCTAGAAAGTACAGTCTTATTTCTGAGACCTATTCAAATGAAACCAAACATGACTGTAAATCTTATTTGCATTCATATAGAACATTATATTCTTGACCATTCTGAGTGAATCCAGTGGAGGGAGCAGATGAAAAGGCACTGATGCATATGTGAGAGAGGCGTTTCCTGCACCACCCCTCTGTGGGGTGTCTTGAAGGTGCCAGTGTATTGTCTGTTTCTCGGGAGATCAAAGTATCTGAGTTTCCTGAGTTTCTTTTATCCTTACACATTTTAGTCTAGGACTAAGCCTTGTCTGTGAAACCGGGGGTGAGAGTCATTCCTTAAGTGAGGTACATGTGTAAACACTTGAAACCGTTTGACATGAGAGGCCCGAAGCCACGGCGTGCAATGAGACTCGGCAATGTATGTACCAGGAGAAAAAATAGACACCATGTCTCTTCTTACACACAGCTTAGAGCATATACAGTATATTACCGTGAACCCAGGTATGATTCTAATTTCAAAGCGGTAACATTTTCAAGAACACCAAATGTCTCAAAGGCAGTGATTACTTTCACTTTTTACAAAAGAAAAAGAAAAAAAAATGGAACTTTTAAAACAAACTAAAGTAGCTTAACAAAAATTAGAAAAATCAAAGCTTGGTCAAATTCTGTAATATTGTACCATTTTTTGAAAACCCACCATGCAAATTCTTAAACGCAAACCTACCTGGCCCTGCTCCTTCACCCAGACCTTGGCCATGTACTAAGCCAAAACCGAGTGCACTAGCGCATGTTCAGTCCCAGCAGTATTTGTATAAATATGTCAGCACCTTAGTGAATGCCCCCAGATTTCAACTGGTAATCTGGTGCAGGCACTATGTCTTCTGTACCCTCCCTTGCTCTTTCTCTCTGGCTCTCTCACTTTCAATAAGACACTACCTCTCACATTTACATCAGCACAAACAGATCCAGATGTCCTCCATTTTTTCCATTCAAGTCAAAGAAACTGCCATAAAATACTTCTCATAGCAACCATCCTATTTATATGCCTCTTACAAACTCTGTCACTTCTGCTGTAGCTCAGTATCATGAACTAAAGAAAATTACTTTCATGCAAGTCTTTCCTCTGTCAATAAAATGGTTCTTGAAATTTCTCAGGAGCAACTGTTTAGCTGTTGTGTCACTGTGGAAAATAAAGACCTGCTTGGCAACAACATTTAATGGCATGTTTAACAACATGCTGTCAATGAAGTAACACAAGGATCCACTGTATATGAGATTATTAAGAGACTGTTTCATGGAAGAAGGATAGCTAAAAATACCCCTGGTATTCACCACCCTAATAAGGCAAAGCTTCTCTTTCTCTTTCTAACTAAACGAAGGTGCACAACGAAAATATTAGAATATGTATTCATACATCCCCACCAGACAAGCCTTATTTAGCATTTTCTGCAATGATTCATGGTAAAATGTGTTAAACAAAACCCATAAAAACAATTACCAAGAATAAATAAATAAATCCTTTACTGTCCACAAAGTAAACATTTGTCTTCAGCTTCACCATATACAATATAAACAACAACACAATGAATCCAAATCTTAAAAACAACATAAAAACCTAAAAATGCAAACATTATACATGCTGTATATTTCACCATATTTCCATATGCACATATACAATAATAAACTAAACTAAAACAGAAATAATAATAATAATAATAATGAATTTAGGTGAAATATACCATAATCTCTTCATAAAACTAGCAAAGCGACTACAGCTGTTTTGACTAAAAAGTGTTTTGGCTAACATTTCCAATTTGTCCAGCCTCATCCACATTTGTGCTTGCATTTTTAAAATTCATTATGAGGCCAGAATGCAGTTAAACAATTGATAAGCTACTACTAAATATTGTAGAAACTTAATTTGCTGGAAAGTTGCTTTGCAACGATTTGTATCGTGAAAAGCGCTATACAAATAAACTTGAATTGAATTCATATGTTCAAATTAACCTCTGAGTTGCTATGGTAACTACCCAGATGGAACCATGGTTGGAGAACTAGGGAGATATTATAGAGAAAAGGAAAAATCAAAGCGGCTCAAAAAAATGATAGAGGAGGCACTGGAAAACCAAACAGAGAGCTCATGTGAGAGCTGGTAGAGAGGAAAAAAGTTGTATGGTTAATTTAATGACTATTTTGCTTTAAAGGTGATTTAAACACCAACACAATGATGCTAACTCCTTCCCTGCAGGGCTGCATGTTGACAGTGTGACTCACTGCCTTTGAACCTACTTAGATATCTGGAGGTATTGAAATTCACTCTAAAATCCCATACGTTACCCTTCAAACTCCCACATCCTCAACTCAGGCTGGAAACACGATATGCTCATCCTTGCTGCACCAAAAATATTTACTCAAAACATTTACTTGGAGGCATTCTCTGCATTAAAACCAAATATCCAGCTCAAGGCAAGTAAAGCGTTTAAAATTATCTGATACTTCTGACTAAGACATGAAAATTAGGAAATCTAATTCTAAGTCTTCTAAAAAAAGATTAAGGGTGTTCACACATGAATTCATTCGTTTTCATTGAGAGTTGGAGATTTGCCGCGACATGAGTGACAGCTATCACTGCCAACCAACCAACAGCAGAGCAAACTGCTGTCAGTGTTAATGTCCATTAAGAAGGGACATCTTACAGTTTTCACCATAAAACACTCACCTGATTTGATGAAAAGTGTAGCGCTGCTGGACACCTCGCCGACCTCGTTAGTAGCAGTAACTGTGTATGTTCCTGCATCAATTGGCTTTGTCCATTTGAGGAGCAATGAATGCCTTTCTCCCTCTACCTTCACAACATGAGTTGGGCTGTTCTTGATCTCAGTGTTGACTCTCTTCCATGTAACTGTATATAAAATACATTTATTTGCTGTAACATCCCTAGAAAGTACAGTCTTATTTCTGAGACACTCTGGAATTACCTTTGTGCTTGAAATGTGGGCAAAGACTCAAAAGAAGTCTCTACGAGTGTTGCTGTCAGAAGACATAGTACTGATAGTACTGTTTAGCTGACAACTTGTAAGTTAATGTAAAGAGATTTTTTGAGTAAATGATTCAGAGTCAACAGGGACTACACCATGACTGCATCCCTGTGATGCTCATGTATTACAGTTACAAGTCAAATAGGCAAGATTCTAAAGGTTCTGTTTGAAGTTATTACGGCAGAAATAAAGGACTTACCTTCTGGACGAGGGGTGCCACTGATGATGCATTTTAAAAGCACCTCTGTTCCAGTAAAGGCCACAGTGTCCTGAAGTGGAAACTCAAACACAGGAGCCTCTAGAGGATCCTCTCCTGCAGACACGTACGAGTCGTCTGAAGATTCTGTAACAGCATAAGATATCTGTCAGATCCAGTAGACATGATATTCCTCAAATATAATATCCAACTTGAATTGGAGGTACATTGCAAATAAGGTTTGTCTCAGTATTTCTCAGGTTTCTCAAGGTCAAGGATTTGCATGCCACTGGAAATGCCTAAACTTACCAAATTCAGGGGACATTGGTCTTTGTCTGCGTCCTCTTCCTCTGCTTCTTTGGGGTTTTTCCTCTTTAGCAGTGCCACTTTTCTTAGACTTTTCAGTCTTTTCTGCAGGTGTGTCCGTCTCCATTGGCTCCTCTTCAACAATAATTTTTGGTATAGTGAGCTTTGGTGCCGGTGGCAAAGGAGTCACATCCAGCTCCATCTTTTCCTCAGATGAGGAAGATGAGGAAACTCTTGGAGGTTTGGGGGGAGCTTGGACAAGACATTCTTGAATAGCTACAGTTTCTCCTTGCACCAGAGGACTTTCAGGCCTTCTTTCCAGTTTTCTCAGCGTGACCTCTATTGGCGTCTTCCTATGCATGGACTCATCATCTGCTTGTGGAACTTCCTGAACACGAACAACCCTCTTTACTAGTGGACTTGCAGGTCTTGGTTCCACCTTGCGTAATGTCATCTCTAAGATATTTCGGGATGGTGATTCAGATCTACCTCGAGAGCGCTCTTCAGCCATGGCAGTAATCTCTACAGTTGGAGACCTTCGGGGACTATCTCTGCTCGGGCTTGGACCCCAAAGTCTTGGAGATCTTTGTCCAGGTAAATCAGAGAGTGACATGGCCTCTGGAGGGGATGGTTCTTGTCCAAATGTGCTTACCAACTTGGTGGTTGGGACGGACCGATCACTTTTAACTTTTTCCAGTGACTGTTGTGCCAGCTGGTCTTTTCGTCTGCGAGATGGTGATTTTGGAGGTGATAGTTCTTTTGGTTGTCCTCTCTCTCTCATCTCTTGTTCTCGCTGAGCATGCTCTCTATCCTGCAGCTTTTGAAGAACCTGAGGTGGGATGGGCTCTAACTTTCTTACAGGCTGCCTGCTCCTGCGAAAAGTAGAGAGCTGCTCTGTTGAGAAGGATTTCTTCATGTGTGGTTTACCGACAAGCTTTTTGATGCGCTGGAGCTCCTCTGTGAACTTGTTCTCAATGTCCTGCACCTTTTGGGTGTAACGGGGTCTGTCCTCCAGGGAAGCAGCCCGCTGTTTGAACATGGTCCTTCTCTGGGCTGCGTCTGCCTTCAGAGCCTCACGAAGGTCTTCTTTGGAGCTCTCCCTCGAGATTCCCAACCGGCTCCCTCCTTCATCAGAGTCAATAGACGAGGCTCTATTAAATCCAGCCCAAGAGCGTCCGGATATAGATCCCTCTGGGTTATCGATACTTCTTCTGCGCTCTTCAAAGACTCGCACCTTCTCAAAGATCTTGGAGCTAGCTCTTGTCAGTTTTGGTGAGGGCCGAGGTGTAAGTTCCTTACGGGAATACTCGCTGACAGGGGTTTGGGGTCGAGAGTCTTGAGCACTACTCTGAGACATGCCTGAGGATTTGGGTTGCTTTATCTTCTCCTCAAACTCTCCTGGTACTGTGTCTTGATATTCAGTTGGCACGACAACTTTCTTGCGTGGGGCTAGGGGTGTGGCAGGGGCTGAACCAGAACGGCTGAGCAAAGGAGAGGCAGTAGAGCGGCCAATTTTGGGGGAAGGGGGTGGTAGGACTTGAGGGGGAGATTCCCTCAAAACTTCTTCAGATGGGCTCCTAAAAGAAGGTGTTTGAGGGAAATGTTCTGTTAGAGTATGGGGTTATGCAAGGGGAGGAGCCCAACTGTTTGGATGAGGACTTTGGAAGAGGGGCCAGAGAGGCTAATTTCTCTTATGTGGGACCTTAAATGGGACTGTTTGTGTACAAGTTACTTCAAATCTACTTCTGTTAATGTCTTAATTTGAGCAAAATAATTAGCTTTTTTAAATGAGGAAGGAGTGTGTGAACCTTCATAATTTTCAAATTTCAGGAGAGGTAAATAAAGAAAATTAAAAATGATGAGCTTCTGTTAATTGCATTTTCTAATTAGTTACGGTTGATAAATTGAAATATAAAAATAATGCGAGGGGATGTTCAGAGCATGAATAAAATGTATTCTATTAATCTTGGAGTGACAGTCAAGACTAGTGGTTGAACAGATCGTAGTTGATCCGTGATCAGTACGGACCAACCCCCACGTTTCGGCACACGTGATCCACAGATTAACTGCAAAATTTAAACATAATAAAGTGAAAGTTTATCATTTGTACGTGTTTACATACTCAAGCGATTTTAAACCATTCCAGCGAAAGAAACTCGATTCGTTACTCGCGCACTGTTTTCTATGCACATGCACAGCCGCACACACATGAAGTGCGCATAATGATAAATTCTCATATGTTAACGCCTCATTTCTTTACAGAAGATGATTCTATATTTTATTAATGTTCCACTAAATTATGCAATCTGAAGAGTTTTGAGCGCTCTCTCCCATCTCACTGCCATCACACTTAGTGGGGCAGAAATGTAATCAAAATTATTAAAAAAATAAAAATAGCCATTTAATGAGTTTCAGTTTTTAGGAGTTAGCCTATCACACAAACAAGAGTCCTGTTTTTCTGAATATCTGCACGATTGCAAATGCACAATAAACAAGTTACTGAGTAACTTTTAGACACAAAATTCCATTTTGCTCTGTCGAAAAGAAAATAGAACAAACAGCAGAACGGCCGTGTCTCTGAGCAACACGGTGTTTTGTTCCTCAGCGTTACACGGACCAGTAAATAATTCAATCAGGCTATAAGTAGTCATTTGCTAAGTTAAATGAATTGGCATTTCAAATGAATGGGTTGATTTATGTATTCACCTTGCTGCCACCTACTGGCGGTTGTATATTCATATTTATAAAAGTAGCTTATTATTTAATATTACATCTAAATTTTGACTCGGCTAGACATGTTGCATATTAATTGCTAATTATTTTACAATAATTGTTACTCCATAATGATGTTCAAGTTGAGGGCATTTGTAGTGTATAGGTATAGGGCCCAAACACAACCTCAAGCCCAGGGTCCCCGACCCCCTAAGTCCTGCCCAGATCATTATATTGGATCCATGCAACAGGTCTTAAAGGGACAGCAGCCTATAAATACATTCTGCTGTCATTGACGCTAATCAAACAACAAAACACAGCTTTGACAAAGATCAATCTATATTTAATTTATACAGTAAACACTATGCAGTGTTATATATATATATATATTTGTACAGAGCCTCTTAATCTGTGTGAGTAACACACATCTTTGAGAGTTCTTACAAGATCTATGCCCTCCTATCCTTGCGAGTCAAGGCATCATGTGCATGCATGCAAGGATTCATGGCGTGCAGTTCGCCAAAAACAGCATGCACAAAAAACCAGGGGGAAACCGAAGGGGTCGATGATACCTAACACAAAAATGTGATGCAAGCATGTTTTTAATGCAAACTTTTGGTCAGCTTCAATTTTGCATCAACTGCTGTGCGGGTAGAAAACTAAAAGAATTTGCATATGGACAATGGGGTTTACAATAATTGTTACTCCATAATGATGTTCAAGTTGAGGGCATTTGTAGTGTATAGGTATAGGGCCCAAACACAACCTCAAGCCCAGGGTCCCCGACCCCCTAAGTCCTGCCCAGATCATTATATTGGATCCATGCAACAGGTCTTAAAGGGACAGCAGCCTATAAATACATTCTGCTGTCATTGACGCTAATCAAACAACAAAACACAGCTTTGACAAAGATCAATCTATATTTAATTTATACAGTAAACACTATGCAGTGTTATTTTACACTTAATTATTACATTTCTGTACCTGAATACTACCGACTTTTATTTGTAACATTGTTCTGTTGTATTTATCTATGCTTGTAATTTGTGTATTTGTTCTTATTTTTTCTGGCTGTTCACCTGTCTTTAATCAACCTTCTTAGTTAGCCTAGTAGTTTTTGCTGTGGTATCAAAGAAGTACTTAGCTTTAAGTAATAAATAGAAAGCAAAGTTACATTGAAATATATATTTTTTGCTAATCCGGAAAACGATCCAAGGCTCAAAAACCGTAATATGATCCGAACCGTGAGTTTTGTGATCTGTTGAACCACAAGTCAAGACCACATTTAAATGTAAAGTTACATTATGTTTACAAGGCTAAGAAATCTGAATTCTATCTTAAAACAAATTGTAATTTATTTGTCTTTTACAAAATAACTGAATGCTGTAAAACAATGTAATATCAGCACATGGCAGAATAAATTGTGCCTACTAGCCTATACCTTCCAAAATCACTGGGCCAGACCACCACACATCACTGGATATCTACAGGAATAAGTCAAGTGTCACTTGCCAATGCTAGGAAGGAAGAGTAAAACAAGGATTAGTGCAGGCACATAACTATTAAATGTTGAGTCATCAAGAGTACTGCTAAAATGGGTCTAATTCAAAATGGCTGTGCACTAGAGGTCTGAAGAGCAGTAAAACATAAACATCTTTCTTTTTTTCACAGCACAGACCAAACTGAACTAACCTTGCAGAGCTGATACAGCTAAAAGTACTGTAAATCCAACCAGTGTAGCTTCCTTCCCAACTGGCAGTTTGACAAACTTATTCTTGAATTCAACATCCAGTGCACTATAATGAGTGAACATCTCCCATGCAGCATCAAAATCATGCGAAAACAAAGCACAAATCTGGTTAAAACAGAGGGATGGTCCTTAGAAATGTGTGATGTTAGTAAAGTATGACAATAAGCATCTGGCAATAGTGGTTTTTAGACAGTTTGCTATTTATTCAAGATAAATTAATTCAAAATTGATCTTCACATGAATATACAGTCTTGTACTTTTTGGTTTTAATTGAGGGAATAATACTCAACACATTACAGTGTTTTAGATTGCACTTTATTTGAGATCATTACCACTGAAAACACTGATATTTAACTTTGGCAAAAAAATGTAAAAGACATAAATTATCACCAAAAACAGCATGCACAAAAAACCAGGGGGAAACCGAAGGGGTCGATGACACCTAACACAAAAATGTGATGCAAGCATGTTTTTAATGCAAACTTTTGGTCAGCTTCAATTTTGCATCAACTGCTGTGCGGGTAGAAAACTAAAAGAATTTGCATATGGACAATGGGGGTCAAAGGAAAGTATGAACTAAATAAAAATAAATCTAGATGAGGAATGAAAAAGGCAATAACGGTGCGTGAGGGAGGAGCTATTCTTAACTAAATTCAGACTATATTTGTCTCAGCCTGTAACCTCTACATTATTAGTTTATAGTATGAAATTCTGTTTTGTTTTTATTTGTAACACTAGGTTTAACATATTATCAGCATATGTGTGACACTTTAATTTAACTTTTACTTTTATTATGATGCATGGTAAAATGGTCATGTTTTCGTGACACGTACAGAAAGAGCGTGCAGCCAATGGAAGATGCATCACATTAAGCTTACTCAGCAAGTACTATTTTGGAGTTTAAATGCTTTGTCTTCAGATATAACAGTTTGGCCAACAGCAGCACTTCCAGAGATTATCTATTCTTAGACTCCTTCAGCAGCTTCCAAAAAATGTTGACCTGCACAAAAGGACACCGTGCTCTCAGCATCTCAGTTTGTGCATAATGTGATACAGATCTGACAGATTATAAGCTGGCTGCTTTAAAGGCCAGGTCATTACCTGACAGTGCCCTGCACCTGCCCTCTCTTAGACAGAACCATGACTTGCTTTAAGGTTATCTTAGTGTTAGGCACAAACTGGAACAGCCTGTCATTACCAATAGATCTTGGTTCAACACATTCATGATACAAATTAGCAGCAAATCAAAAGCAGAACCAAACAACGGGGATGGAAAACAGAAACTAATGGATAACAGTGGGCTTGAAAGTATGCAAAGCCTGGGATGGTTCAATGCTAAACAGAGTGGGATGAAATTTGAAAATTTGGGTTATAATAGACTAAGAAAACTAAAATTTGAAGGAGAGTTTGAGTGACATATGGTTCTAAGAGTGAGACAGTCAACCCTGGCTCAAACATGGATGAAGAAGAGTGCTACGGAGGGATGAATGACAGAAGATACAATCAATCGCCTACTTTTCTTTTCTATGCTTATACATCATAGCCAGCACAATATCTATGCTTATACATCATTGCCAGCACAGTATCTATGCTTATACATCATAGCCAGCACCCAAAATTAACACTCATCAAATGTCAAATGTGAGTTAAAACTGGCTTTTGTCCAATCATTAACAACACAACACAGTTTAAGTCAAATTGTAAGAATGATAGTCTGATGTAAGCGACAAAAGCTATTCAAATCCAAGACAGACAACCGACTACATACAGTAAGAAAACACCTGTCACGAGTCACACATCTTCTAACAGCTTTTACAATCAGAAGTTTATCTAGGATGACTAAGGTATTTTTTTTGTATCCAGAACATGAAATAATCCTTGCATTAAGCCACCGAAATGAATATATAAGAAATAAAATTCTGATATGTTTTGATGTTTTTGTGACATACAGCGAGACGGAAACTGGCTCATCTGAAGTAACAAATCATCTGTGCTTTTTATAATCACTAATATGCGATGAAAAACAGTGAAATAGTTTTGTAATAAAAATAATGCAAAATACAGTTTTACAGCAATAAATCTGGAATATTTTAAGGAATATTTAGGGTGAATTTTAGACCTTTATCATGTCACCACCACCGCAATGACTTGAGCATGAAATCAAATCAATTAGTTTGACATAACGTAAAAGTTCTATCTATGACAATGTGAAATTAATATGAGCATCAACTGAAGTTGTTCAGTGTCATTTCGATTCTGCTCTCCAAAAACGAAATCATACATGTATAAAATCAACGTGTGAAAAAACAACTTTTGTAAGGCTTTTGGCAGCTCACACAGATCTACACTCTGTGGGCTGAGCTGAACCTCATCCAAACACAGAGAGCCCACTCACTGTATCTTCTGTCATTCCTGTGGTGATGTAAGCTGCCTCATGGGGCCACCACAACGCACGGCTCAAATACAGAGAGAGACAGAGGAGGAATTACAGCCCGAGTCTTGTTCTCAGCCCCCTCCCATCCTTAGCACTTACAGGGGACACCATGTTAGAGCAAGGGTCTCTTGTGACTCTGTGACGGGTGCTGTGATTGTTTATCTATTGATGAGGGATCTTTTTATATATCTGTGTTTTGGTCTGCTTATTGTGGGCTGTGGCTGATTGCGGTTTATTTTAACTTAGGAAGGTTTACTTACAGGGGTACAGAAAAAGTCCTTCCTCTATAAAGACTGAACGTGCTACCATAGTAATCGCTAGCTAAAGACACACTTTCCTCTGACCCCCAAACCGGTCGGGACAGATTGGCGCGTGATGCTCGAATCAGAGGCTCGACCCCTAGGTGCCTGATCTGGGTGCCCGTCGGCTCCCGGCTGTTGGCTTGCCTGGCTGACTGCGGCCCCGGAGCTCTTGATCCCAGGGCTAGACCTTCTTTCTCCAACACTGTGGTCTCACCGGCGGCCCAGCGATCGCTTGCATCTGGGGCGACATCCATCATTCTCTCACCTGCGGGAGAGGGAAACGGGAACAAATAGAGCGAATTAAATTTCAGGCAGGATACTCAACGTCCTAGCGTTCACAAGTAAGTTATGGGCGAACTCATCCGCATGATCAAAAACACGTTAACAACAGAAATGACTTTTTCTTTCAATTACACTTTTCTCCTTTTACTAACATTATCTTTTCTTTCAACTGCATAAAAACCACCTAACAATCTTAGAATATTTATTAAACTAGTCATGTCATGATAAATAAAATGCTCCTTGATCTTTAGAAATAATATAGTTCATTAAACTAGAAAAACACACTATAACTTTAAGAACTAAAAACTTGCTTCGCAATTAAAAAAGACCATTTATGGAAATTAAGCTGCAAAAATGACTCATTTAAAGTTCTCCAATTTCTGATGCCAAAAAAAATAAATAAAAATGGAACCGTTTAAATCTATATTAGATCTGAGAGTCATAGCTCTTTCTCTTTTCACATGCAAAGAGGGTATTTGCATAAAAGTCTTAAAGGTATAGTAACAAAAAACTGCCTGTTTAACTATAATGAAAAGGTCAATTATGACCATTTTGGTTACCTACATTCTAATTGAACCTCAGACAGACAGACAATATTGGGAAAGATTAATGAATAAAATCGTGTTAAAAGGTAAATTTATGATGGTTACTAACATAATTAGATCTCAAAACAATCAATCAATCAATGTTATTACCCCTTTAAATTTACAGGTGCATCTCAATAAATTAGAATGTCGTGGAAAAGTTCATTTATTTCAGTAATTCAACTCAAATTGTGAAACTCGTGTATTAAATAAATTCAATGCACACAGACTGAAGTAGTTTAAGTCTTTGGTTGTCTTATGGAGTATTCTAATTTGTTGAGATAGTGAGTTGGTGGGTTTTTGTTAAATGTGAGCCAAAATCATCACAATTAAAAGAACCAAAGACACTAACTACTTCAGTCTGTGTGCATTGAATTTATTTAATACACGAGTTTCACAATTTGAGTTGAATTACTGAAATAAATTAACTTTTCCACGACATTCTAATTTATTGAGATGCACCTGTATAGTGAAGGGAAAAAAAAGAAAAGACAAAAGAAACTGACATATAATCCCTTTAAATCCTTACAAGAATGAAATACTGTTTGTTATGCCTACAAGTGGATAATGTAAGTGGATTACATGAGCATGCATTCAGAGGTGTGAAGAATAAAGCCCAGGTGATGCCATTCAGCTGCAAGCTGCGCTGAAGCAAAGTCACAGCTGATGCCTTCAGAGCCAGTGTGATTCAGTGACTGAATGGATTAGACTGCAGTCAGGAAGCATCCATCAAAATCAATGACAATGCGCCTCCGCCCACCCCTCTACACCCACCATAACAGATCAAATCAATCACTTATGCCACTACGGAAATCATATGCTCCACCAAATCCTGACACATTTATTCCTCCGGTATCTCTTTGTTGGTGAAATTGTTGACTTTCACTTTGTAGAAAGGCTTTGGATCTTACAACTGTATGTTATGCGCTGTGAAGACATCATTCATAGCAGTGCTAATGACAAACCAGCAATTTAGAGTGCAATTCAAGCTTTGTTGCTTGTGGTGCACTTCTTTGTTGAAAGCTGTGTTATACACAAGATAAATGAATTTCAATGTTAGACACTGAGATCAAAACGGATATTTATATGCAGGCCATGCTGTTCTCACACTTCTCATTTCTAGGCTGAAATCACACATCAAATAAATATCACTCTATTCCTCTCTTCTATTTTTTAGTCCTCTCTCGTGGTGATGTAAGAAATGGAAATACTGTTCACCCAATCTGTAAGTGTCTCAAATACTTTCCCCAGGGGATAACGGGAAGGCTTTTGTCATAATACATACTGACAAGTGAGAGCTCAATTGCCGAGATTCTGCAAAGGGACTAAATAGAATCAAGAGAATAGGCCTCAGATTTGTATCTTTGTAAACCCATCCGTGTTTTTCTTCTGTTTAAAGGCAATCTATATCAGGGATTAAAGTTCCGTCGCTATGACGGATTTCCGTCCGTTCGTAAAGACAGTCACTTGCTTCATTCCTGAATGATTCAGCCGTTCGAACGAATCAATTGAATTAATGATTCAGTGATAAAATCAGTGACTTGCCGCCACCTGCTGGCGGATTTAGTTTAATTTTTAGCGTATAATTTCAGTTATTTGAATCATATTTCTGTATTCAAAATTTTAATAGAAATTTTAAAAAGATTATAAACATACATTTTTGAATCTGACAGATGAAAATGATGCCATTACAAAGGTAAAAAAGGAAATACTCCTGTAAGTCACTTTAAGGAGTCAAATGTCACCTAGTATTAGGAAGGCAAATTTTTTTAATCAGAATTTTTGATTGTTGATCAGAAGGTGCTCCTAATTTTTTTAAATTAGGAGGACAAGCGCTCTTAATTACAAGAAGAAA